TATAAACATGTAAAATTTATACATAGGCAAGAACACTTACTAACAGAAGCTTAGGATCACGAAAAACTTAAAAATTCATTATATATATTATAAAAATGCATTTAAAAAATAGACTTCGTCAAGAAAAGTTGACTTCAAACAGGTTAGTTTTACAATTGCCAAAAGATTAGTAGACTTCTCCAAGAAAAGTAGACTTCTCACAGATCACAGGTCTATATATATAATAATTATAATCCGAATAAATGCCATTTGCACTTTTGATAAATTGTGTTGTTTCAAAATTGGTGGTTGCGTCTTTTCATTATAAGTGGTTGCATTTTTCACTATAAGTGGTTGCGTTTCTTCATTAGAAATAGTTACGTTTTTTCATCACAACTGTAATTCATATCTTTTAAAAGCTATATATAATAACAATCCGAATAAATGCCACTTGCACTTTGATATGTTGTGTTGTTTCAAAATTTGTGGTTGTGTTTTTTCCTTATAAGCGGTTGTATATTTCACTATAAATGGTTGCGTTTCTTCATTATAAATACTTGCGTTTTTTCATCACAACTATACTTCATATCTTTTCAAAATTATTTATATTGCTTAAAATTATATAAAAAAAATTATTTGGGTCTGATGTTTACGTTTCTACTACAATGGTTTATCATATATGTATATTATCTAGATGATTTTCTATAAATAAGAAAAAATAATAAAAAATTTAACATATAATCATTTTCCAACAATCCTAATGAAAAATCAATATCAACTTTGATGTTGATCGTGGAACGTCTCATAACATTCAGATAAGTTGCATATTTTCATTATATTTTGTGTCTTAGCTATTTAGTAATCTGAATAAATACCACTTGCATTTTTACAAGGTATGTCTTCTCAAAGTTTATGGTTGCGATTTTTCAATATAACTAAATCTATAGTTTTATCTTTTTATTATTAATGGTTGCGTTGTTTATCATTGATAATTTGTGTCTTTTCAAGAATATTTATATTATTCAAAACTACATAAAATATCATTTGATAGTGATTTTTACTTTTTTATCATAATTATCTGTCATAAAAATATGTTATTCAGATGATTTGTTATAAATAAAAAATAAAAAATAATAGAAATCTAATCTCACAACCCTCAAATAAGTTGTGTATTTTTATAATATTTAGTGTCATAAACATTATTAATATATGGGTTATGTTTTTGTTTATAATTACTAATTTATATAGAAAAAATTATATTTTAAAATTTAATAAATATCAAATATGATTACGTTCTTTCATTTTTTATAACTGTAATTAAAATTCATATCTTATCAATATCACTATATATATTTTGCTTATAACCGTTTATTTTACAAAAAGTTGCATTGTTTACTATTTATATCTTTTCAACTTTTTAAAAATAAATAAAAATTGATCAATTTTCATTATTTCATTTTTTATATGCATATTTACTAAATAAATTTATTAGACTAAAATGAATGAATTTTATTATTACTTTATTGTCTCTTCTTCCCAAATTTAATCTGAGAAGTTTATCAATCACATAAACAAGTTTTTTTCTCCATTTGAAGACTTGTTCAAGATATTTACATATTTTTTTCATCATTTTTATTTTATGCATTTAAGTATAATTATTTTAAACAATTTCTGTTTAATTTTTAATACACGGCAAATTAACCCCACAAAGCTGGATCCTATTCATAGTTTATATAATATCACCAAATTTAGTAAAGTAATATGTTTACCACTGTGATACTCCTCATTGGAAAAGGCAAAACCTCTTGGCTGAATGGACAGTAAATACTCATCACAGTTACATAATCAAAAGTTTTTATGGGTACTGATGCTAGTGTGTGGCTCAATGGGCATGTCATTGTTGCTCAAATGATCATGGTTTAGTGTCTACACCTTAATTAGAGATATCAGTTTCTTTGTTTCTGAAACTAAACTTTTGTTCCAGTTATTAACTTTCATTAAGTTGATTTTAATTAAGACCACGTTTTTAGTTGGCTTTGTTTTGCAATTTCCCGGTTTGTTTGTTGAGGATTTTATTAAAATTTAGACCTAATCTATACGGGGATGATGCCGAGCATTCTTTTAGAGGGCGCCTCTGTTGGATAAGCTTCAAAATGAAAAAGGAAAATTCTTCTATTGATATTAGGAAAAGAAAAGAGTAGTTTCCTATCTTCAATAGTAATAGAAAAAAAGTAAATTAGCAAAATTGTGCTAAGGCCTATATATATATATACATATATATATATATCAATGTCAAGCAATGACGATATCAAGAACAAGGTGTTTAGTTTTGAGTTAGATTTTCTAAACATCAATAAAGAGAGAGTTATTCTTTTTTATACAAAGTGTGTTAGTTCTTAGATCTAACATCTGGTATCAGAGCTGAAGGATAATTAATTCAAAAGCTTTGAGAAGAAGTCGTTGACGACAAGAGGAAAGGTGTCACCGAGCTATGGGAGACATCGTTCCTGCGGCTCGTCCGAAGGATGTCATACCATCCTCAATCCAATGCCCGATGTTAACAGCTACAAACTACACGGTGTGGGCTATGAGGATGAAGGTCATGCTGCGTATCCACAAGGTCTGGGAAGCTATAGAACCCGGTTCACAAGCTCTAGACAATAATGATATTGCAACAGGACTGCTGTTCCAATCAATTCCAGAAGCCCTTATTCTGCAAGTTGGAGAACAAGAGTCTCCGAAAGTGATTTGTGAAGCAATAAAAACTCACAACCTTGGTGCTGATCGAGTTAAGGAAGCGAGATTGCAAACTCTCAAGTCAGAGTTTGATCGAATCAAGATAAAGGATTCAAAGACAATCAATAGCTTTTCAGGAAAGTTATCGGAGTTAGCTTCAAAAGCTGCTGCACTTGGACAAAATATTGAAGAACATAGGCTGGTCAAACGGTTTCTCAACAATTTGCCAAGATCAAAATACATACATATAATAGCTTCTCTTAAGCAATTATTAGACCTCAACAACACAATCTTTGAAGACATAGTCGGACGCCTCAAGGCATACAAGAAGTGTATACTTGGTGATGCAAGTCATGATGAAGCACAAGGAGACTTGCTGTTTACAAAAACAGAGTCACACGACAACCAAAGAAGCAGCGAAACCTCAAGAGAACGAGGAAGAGGACAAGGAAGGGGAAGAAATAATTCGAAGGACAGATCAAAGGTGATTTGCTATCATTGCGATAAACCAGGACATTATGCCTCCACTTGTTTGGACAGACAACAAAAGTTACAAGAAGCAAATCAAACAGAGACGGAAGAAGCAGATCTAGCTCTGTTTATGCATGAGATTGTATTTCTAAATGAAGAAAACATGCTTCCCAAGAATCTCAAAGACAACGGAGAAGAAGGACTGTGGTACCCGACAATGGCGCAAGTAACCACATGACAGGAAACAAGAAATTCTTCTGAGAACCGAATGAGAACATAAGAGGGAAAGTGAAGTTTGGTGACGGCTCGTGTATCAAAATAGAGGGAAAAGGCTCGATCCTATTCCAAAGCAAAATCAATGAACAAAAGCTAGTCTCAGACATCTACTATAGACCAGAACTTAAGAGCAATATCCTAAGTCTAGGACAAACAACGGAAGCTGGATGTGATGTGAGAATGAGACAAAGCTACCTTACCGTTCATGACCCACGAGGGAGACTTTTGGTGAAAGTAAATCGATCACCGAACAGGTTATACAAGATTCTGCTGAAGACATCAAGATTGAAACTTAAGAGGGAGAATGTTGGATAAGTTTCAAAAGGAAAAGGAAAACTTTCTATTGGTATTCGGAAAAAGAAAGAGTAGTTTTCTATCTTCAATAGTAATAGAAAAAAAGGAAATTAACAAAATTGTGCTAAGGCCTATATATATATCAATGTCGAGCTATGACAATTGATATCAAGAACAAGATGTTTAGTTTGAGTTATATTTTTCTAAACATCAATAAAGAGAGAGTTATTCTTTTTATACAAAGTGTGTTATTCATAGATCTTACAGCCTCGTTCTCTCTCTCTGGCTCCGTGTATGGCTCTTGCTTTTTCTCATGGATTCTCTCTGCTATTAGTATATATTATTACTTTTTTCTTGTCTCTTGTGCTTGTTAAGATAGTGTATCTCTAGTGCCTTCTGTTTGGATTGATTGAGACTTGTTCATAGGGGTTTGGTGAATCTGCTAAAACTTGAATCTATTTCAGTGTTATGACTGTTTTCTTTTTGTTTTTCTCTAGTTGATCTACTGATTTGAGCTTTGTAGCTTGCGACAATTATGTTTCTTGAAACCACGCATCCTGCATTAGAACATCGTTCCGTATGCTGTTATACCCTTGTTAGACCTTTTCTTCTCTCTTTGGTCTCCTCCACCTCTCGTTTGATCCTGCATATGTGTGGATTTATCATGCGGTGGAGGAAGAGATTGAGTGGGAATAAAAGGAAACCGCAGTGTAATTGTCATTATACCATAAGAGTCGATCTGATTGCGTTCTTCCTTAGCATCGTTGCGATTATATAACTGAGAAACATATTGGGCGATGGTGGTTTTGTGTTCTTTACAGGCAGTTAACGAAGCACATATATGAAACTTCTTTGGTGAAGTTGTGTTACTATGTTACAGACCGCATCGTACCAAGAGATTGGACCAGTTCTTTCGTATGAACCGTATGGAAACGTAAGAGATGGAGAAATGGTCACGGAGAAACATAAGAGAATTTTGAAAAGTCAAAATGAAATACGTAGCTGCAAAATGGGTACCCTGTTCGAGCAGATCTCCACTGCACACGATGTTAACGGACGTTATGGATGAAGCCTCAAGTAGGAAGCCAGTTACAGTTTTGGATCCTGAGGAGAGGAAGGCTATGAGGAAAGCCCTTAAAGGGAAAAACTTGTTAAAAGGTCTGTTGTGGTCTCTGATTAGTAGTCAGAGATAAACTACATTCTCCCTGACAGTATGTGAGTCTGCCGCTTTTTAAGGCTTTGTTATGGAAGTAGTTGCTTCGTCTGAACCGTACAGATAATATAATCATGAATAATCTTCTCCTAATGAGATCCTCCAGCATATACTCTGCTTTCTTCCGATCAAATTCGCCATCAGAACTTCCCTGATGGAAGGGTTTATGGTGCGACATGCCTTGTATCTCCTTCGCTAGCTGCACACTCATGGCTGCTTCGAGAAACAAGACCCAAGATCGCTACACTGCTCAAAAGATGATGAGTTTACAACTCTGGACTGGCCAGATCCGCAGTGTTAATCACACCAGCACTTGGATCGAGCTGGCCATGAACCGCAGAGTGGAGAGTCTCTCCCTCGAACTTGTCTTTAAGACTTATAACTACACTTTTGCTGATTCCTTCTTCATCAAATCCTCCCTTAAGGAACTCAGCATTGCGTCTCGATTTACAACTATGATTGTTCCCAAATCTAGTGTGTCTTGGACATCCCTCAAGAAGTTGTCCTTGCGTAGCTGTAAGCACTCTGATGAATCCTTGGCTACGATTCTATCTGGTTGTCCGGTTCTCGAAAGGCTGACCTTGTGTTTCTGCGATGACCTAACTGTTGTTGATCTCAGCAATTCGCCGAGTCTGAGAACATTGGAAGTGCAACGCAGCTTTTATTTACTGACGCCAATGCAGATTTTGGCACCGCATATCCGTTGTCTCAGGCTGCATAACTCTCAGTTACTATCTACTTTAGTTGATGTCTCATCTTTAGCTGAAGCTACACTGAACGTCTGCTTTGACCCATCTGGCACTGGCTTCAATGGTAAGTTTCTTAAAGACACGGAGTTGGAAAAGTTACACCACGTAGAGAAGCTATCTTTTGGGAGACAGTTTCTCTAGGTATGTTCCGATGGATTACTCTTTGATTTGATTTTCTATAAGTTGAGGTACTTTCGTGCACGCTAGTTTCAGTATCTCACTATCTTTCTCTTTGCTTCTTCTGTTAGTTTTTATATCTTCCAAGTTTGGTGTCCCTTATCCGATGTTGAAGGTCAAAGATTTGACTCTTTACACAAACCTCTATGAGCATGTTATTCCTTCTGATATGGAACGACTGTTACGAAGCTTACCTGATTTGAAGAAGCTAAAAGTAAACAGAAGAGCTTGTATGAACAAACTGGTATACTTACCATAAACCTCTTTTTTTTTTATACTTGACTATTCTTTAAATATCAACGAGTTTGAATAATCCAAGAACCATGTTTGTTTGTTTTTTTTTTCTATTGAGCAGGGTTCCGTCGTCGGAGCAAGTCCCATCTGGATGCAGAGTCAAAGCGCGTGGCTACATTTATGGAACTTGTGTTTAACAGGATTAAGACATTAGAGAAAGTGTTGGAAACTGCAGGAAACTGCAGGTCACCTTCATGTTATCTTGTTCTTTTTGTTTAGTTCTTGTTCAAAGATAGAAAAACAGAGAAACGATTTTGTGGAAACTTAAGAGAGAGCGATATTAGATGAGATGTAGAAAACCTGATTTTTCATTATTATTTCACAACACTCAGTAATACATATATATATAGAAAACAGAGAAGTAGTCTCTGTTTTTCGACTCCTTACATGACTTCAAGCCCCAAAATAACTGCCCACACTAGGCATGATTAACTCTAGATTTTATCCAAAGAAACAAGCAACTCCAAAGACTTATACATACCAAAATACACAGTGGATATATGATGATATTCAACAACTTCTTTGACTTATAGTACCTTATTTTAGCCCACGTTTTCTGGGTTGGTTTGAGAACACACATAGGCATCACTCAACACTCCCTCTTGCCTTTTTGTTTCTCAAACCAAGCTGGTCTCGGAATCTTTCAAAATTAGGACCTCCCAACGCCTTGGTAAATATATCAGCTATTTGCTCTTCACTCCTGCAATATTGTAGCTGGATGTCTCCATTTTTCTCTGCTTCTCTAACAAAATGATATTTGATCTGAATGTGCTTGGTTCTTCTATGCTGGACTGGATTCTTACCAATTGCTATGGCTGATTGATTGTCACAGTATACAGGAACTCCCTCTTGAGTGATGAATTTCAAATCTTCAAGCAACCGCCTTAACCATATTGCTTGATTTGTTGCTGCACATAGAGCCATGTATTCTGCCTCAGCCGTGGATTGAGCAATAGTGTCTTGTTTGCTTGTTTGCCATGTGAAAACTGCAGACCCAATGCTGAAGCAAAACCCTGTTGTTGATTTCAGATCTTCTCTGCATCCTCCCCAATCACTATCTGAATATCCAACCAGTTTTGGTTTCTCAACGGCTGTAAACATCAACCCAAGATCAATTGTTCCTCTTATGTATCTGAGAACTCTTTTTGCTTCCTTGAAATGCTTGGCTTTAGTTCCTTCAAATATCTCGATAAATAAGATGCAGAAAACATGAGATCAGGCCGAGTAGCTATTAGATACAGCAGGCCTCCCACAAGACTTCTATAAGTCTTTGAATCTGCAGGTTCTTCTTCCCCCTTTTGAAATTTGCCTTGAGGTGCTAATGGTGTTTTCATGATCTTGCAGTCCTCCATGTTATACCTTTTCAGCAGCTTCTTTGCATAACTTTCTTGAGAGAGAAAAATCCCTTCTTGATTCTGCACAATCTCCATTCCTAAAAAATAATTCAGCAACCCCAAGTCGGACATCTCAAATTCGCTTTTCATCGCCATCTTAAACTCTTCCACCATATTCTCATCATCTCCGGTCACAATAAGATCATCTACATAGATGCAAACAACTAGAGTCTTGCCATGAACTTCTTTTGTGTACAGGGCATGGTCGTTTTCACTTCTCTTGAATTTTTCTTGCTGGAAAAACTCATCAATTCTGCTGTACCATGCTCTTGGTGTCTGCTTTAGACCATAAAGAGCTTTGTGTAAACGAAGAACATGGTCTTCCTTCCCTTCTTCTTCAAATCCAAGTGGTTGCTCAGCATAAATCTCTTCTTATAGCTTGCCATTTAGAAATGCAGATAGTTTCCATCTTCTCTGAGCCGCAACAGCAAGAAGCAATCTGATTGTTTCATGCCTTGAAACTGGAGCAAAAGTTTCCAAATAATCAACCCCATGCTGTTGTGTAAATCCTTTAGCTACTAACCTTGCTTTGTGCTTTACAACATCCCCTTTTGCATCTGTTTTTAGCCTGAATATCCACTTGACTCCAACCACATTTTTGTTAGCAGGTCTTTTAACCAATTGCCATGTATGATTCTTCTCGATCATGTGTATTTCTTCTTCCATAGCTTGTCTCCACTCAGTGTGCTTTGCTGCTTCTTCAAATGTTGCTGGTTCTTCAAAACTCATATAACATCCTTCACACACTTCAGCAAACTCAGTATCCGCATGTGGAGCCGTAAGGAGAATATCATTAATTGATCGAGTTCTTCTATTTGGCTGACTTGAGCTGCTTCCTGGGCTGTCAAGGTCCATATTAAAAGGAATGGGCTGAATCCTTCTAGATTCAGAATCACTTGATCTTGATTCACCAACTCTGGGCTCTTCTTCTCTACAATCTGATTCAAAAGATACAACAGATTGTTTGCTCACCTCTCCTTGATTCCAATCCCATTTGCTTCCTTCATCAAAAATTTCATCTCTGGAAACGTCTATCTTGTTTTCTTCCGGCAGATAGACCCGATAGCCTTTAGTTTGAGAACTATACCCAACAAATATTCCATTCTTAGACTTTGCATCCCACTTTTTTCTTTTTTCATCTGGTATGTGTACATAACATACACACCCAAACACCTTCAAGTGATTCATTGACGGCTTCGTTCCATTCCAGGCTTCAAGTGGCGTCTTGTTCTCAAGAGTTTTGGTTGGTATTCGATTCTGAATGTATGCAGCTGTATGGACAGCTTCTACCCAGAATTTCAGAGGTAAGTCTTTTGCTTTGATCATCGCTCTTGCCATCTCCACTAAGCTTCTGTTTCTTCTTTCAGAAACACCATTTTGTTGTGGAGAATATGCTGCAGTCAGCTGCCTTTCAATACCATGATCTTCTAGAAACTTGGTAAATTCTGTAGAGAGATATTCTGATCCCCTGTCTGTTCTAATCTTCTTTATTTTGCAGTTAGCTTGATTTTCAACAAGATTTTTGAACTTCTTGAAGGTTTGAAAGACCTCTGATTTGGCTTTTAAGAAATAAACCCAAACCATCCTTGTTGCATCATCAATGAACGTAAGGAAATACCGGCTACTGATGATGGATAGACTCTGCATTGGTCCACACACATCGCTATGAATCAACTCAAGTTTTCCTTTTGCTCTTGAATCTGATTCTTTTGGGAATGAATCACGACTGTGTTTGCTTAGAATGCAGCTCTCACATCCTTCCTTGTCCACTTCGAACTTGGGTAGACCCAAAACCATATTCGTTGACTGTAGAATCTTCAGATTTGAGTAGCCCGTATGACCAAGCTTTTTGTGCCATAGTTCAGCCACTTCATTCTTTGCCACCATTGCTGTTTCTTCACTTGAGGACCATTTAATAGGAAAGCTCTTGTTAACCATTTCCACTTCAGCTATCGTTCTCCCATCACGATCATGTATGATGCAGTTTCTTTGTTTGAAAACAACTTGATATCCATTTGAAATCATTTGAGGAACGCTTAACAGATTTTTGTCAAGCTTTGGCACCAGAAAAACATCTCGAATGATCCTCTTCCCCTTCTTTGTCATGACTTCAATATCTCCTTTTCCCTTGGTCATCAATACAGCTCCATTACCAACACGTATTGGAACTTTGATGCTAGTGTTTATTTTTGTGAACAGCTTCTCATTTGATGTCATGTGGTTTGTACAACCACTGTCAATGAGCCATATATTTTCTTCAAATGATTCCTGATCTTCATGTCTTGCAGTGAACAGGTGGTTATCTTCAACTTCTTCATGTTCGTGAGACACTTGTGCCTGTTCTCGTTTCTTGCTTCTGCAGTCTCTTGCAAAATGACCAGGTTTGCCACAATTGTAACATTCTCTTCTACCCTTGTTTTTGTTGAACTCTGGCTTCTTTCTTCCATTCTTTAGGTAGCACACGTCTTCATTATGGTTGTCTTTCTTACAGAACCTACACCATTTCTTCCCTTTTCCGTTATGACTTGTTTTCCATGAATTTGCCTTGCTACTGTCGTCTTTCTTCCCAATATTATGGCCTTTGAAACGTGCATGGAATGCACCTTCAGTATTTTCTTCATCTTGAGGGAAAAACTTCTTCTCATGAGCTTCTAACGATCCCACCAGCTCAGCAAACGTAACTGTTTTTAGATCTTTAGTTTCTTCCATTCATGAGGACAAGGGAGCATACCTTTTGGGCATAGAAGCTAGGATCTTGACTACCAGATCAAAGTTTGATCTACCTTCACCTAGAGCTCTCATCTGATTAGCTACAGCATGAATCCGTTCAGAATACGGTTTGACCTTTTCTCCTTCCTTTATTTTCAGATTCTCAAAATCTCTTCTTAAGGCTTGTAATCTAACCATCTTAACTTTTTCATTACCTTGATAGGAATGTTCCAAGAGCTCCCAAGCTTGCTTGGCTGAGGTTGCAGAGAGGATTTTGTCAAAGACCACATCAGCTACAGCATGTTGAATGAGTTGAAGTGCAGCAGTGTCTTTCGCCTTAAGGGAACGCCAGTTTCCAACCTCCCTTGCATAATCTGCTCCAGGTGTCTCCGGTGATCTTGATGGCGGATCTGAGAGTCCAACAATCTCCCAAAGCTCTCTGTTCATCAGAGTCGTTTTCATCCTTGCTGCCCAGAACTCATAGTTCTGTCCATCAAAAACAGCCACAATTTGTGATGACTGCAGATTTGACGCCATGTGTGTCTTCTTTTCTTTGTTGTTGTTGCTCTTCTTCTTTCTTGTTCTTCTTGTAACTTTCTGCTTCAGTCTCGTTCTTCTCTTGTTCAGGCTCGTTCAATTTTCTTCAGTCTTGTTCAAAGAGGCTCCAAAGATCAGAGTGAGCTCTGATACCATGTTGGAAACTGTAGGAAACTGCAGGTCACCTTCATGTTATCTTGTTCTTTTTGTTTAGTTCTTGTTCAAAGATAGAAAAACAGAGAAACGATTTTGTGGAAACTTAAGAGAGAGCGATATTAGATGAGATGTAGAAAACCTGATTTTTCATTATTATTTCACAACACTAAGTAATACATATATATATATATATATATATATATATATATATATATAGAAAACAGAGAAGTAGTTTCTGTTTTTCGACTCCTTACATGACTTCAAGCCCCAAAATAACTGCCCACACTAGGCATGATTAACTCTAGATTTTATCCAAAGAAACAAGCAACTCCAAAGACTTATACATACCAAAATACACAGTGGATATATGATGATATTCAACAACTTCTTTGACTTATAGTACCTTATTTTAGCCCACGTTTTCTGGATTGGTTTGAGAACACACATAGGCATCACTCAACAGAAAGTGGTC